AGGGGGGGGGGGAGGAGCAAAGGGCCCTGCCAGGAGGCTCCTGCAGTGGCCCAGGCAGACCTGGGGCTGAGCTAAGGCTGAGAAGTGGATTACAGTGGGAGGATGCAGTAGGACCTGGTAGAATGAGAGGCTGGCTCCCTGATTGGAGGAGGAAGGAGGGCGGCAACGAGAAACGGGACAAATCAAAGGCGCTTATCTCTGGTTCCAGAAACTTGAATGACATTGGCAGCACCACAGAGAAGGACATGGGCAGAGGGGGCAGGAGTCGGGGACCAGTGGCTGTGAGCATGCGGTGCCTGTGGGCCACCCAAGAGAGATGTCCGGGACTCAGGGAGTCAACTGGGAGGATGGATTTGGGGATCCCCCTGGCTTTCCTTAGTGCTCCTTGGAGCAGCCCCTCTGTCTTCTCAGGAAGGCAGCAGGCGGGGCAGACCGCTGGGCAGCGGGTGGACTGGGCGGGGCTGGATGCTGCAATGCCCTCTCCCCAGGCACTGGCAAGACCTGGGCTACATGATCCTCTACATCACGGGGCGGCCGGACATGCAGAAGCAGCGGGTGGTTTCCTGGCTGTCCCAGCACAACTTCCCACAGGGCATGATCTTCTTCTCGGACGGGCTGGTGCACGACCCGCTGCGGCAGAAGGCCATCTTCCTCCGCAACCTCGTGCAGGAGGTGAGCGGCCAGCGGGGGCGGGCTGCGGCCGGGAGGGGATGCGGCCCCCAGGACTCTCCTCCGTACTCCCTCCCTCAACCCCGTGGGCCCTCATCCCTTTACCCCACCACCTCCCATCGTGCACGTGGATGGCCAGTTGGCAAAGCTCATTCGCGTGGATCTCAGTGGGCCCTTTTATAGCCCTTCCAGGTGGGTATTGTTATCCCAGTGACAGATGAGGAAGGGGAGGCTCACCGACTTGCCCAGGATCTCAGAGGCAGACTGGCATCCTGTATCTCCTGACCCTAAAGCCTACCCTCTTGTCTCTGCATTTGGTTATTCATTTAATAGGCACCCATGTCATGGCAGAGCAAGGCCAGTTGGGAGCTGAGGTCCTGGAGCTCTTCAGGGACCTGAGGTGGGAAACTATGGAAGAACTTAAAGCCATGGAAGAGCTTAAAGTGGCAGTGTCTAATTTGGGCTGGAGAAAGATCCCTCTGGCAGCTCTGTGGAGAACAGATTAGTGGGAGAAGCAGGAGGCAGGGATGTCAGTTAGGAAGCTGTTGCCCAAATGAGAGACAGGAAGACCAGAGTCTAGTGGTAGCCATGGGGTGGAGAGGAAGGCATGGGCAAATCAGAAGGTAGACTTGCCAGGACCCAGTGATGGTTTCATGGAGGGAGTGAGGGGCTCTGAGATGTCCCTCTTGAGTAACCAGGAGAAATCCAGGTGCTACTAATCTGACCTGACTGTAGTCTCCATGGAGGTACAGTTGTGGCTGTTTTGTCACCACTGTATCTCCAACAAATTGGGCAATGATGACACAGGGTGGGCAGGCAATACATGTTAGCAGAATGAATGAATGAAGTGAAAGGGGACCAGGCTGGGGGAAGATGAGCTCATTTCTGGACACATTGAGGCTGGTATGGCCATTGGACACGCGCTATGTCAGTCCCAGCTGAAGCAGGCCAATGAAGCCATGGGAGGGGGTGAGAGGGGTTGTGCTGAACCCCCAAGAGCAGCAAGAAGAGCAGCCGAGGAACCAGAGGGCACCAGATGGGAGGAGGCAGGAGGGAGGAGCTTCCTGGGATCGGGCAGGAGAAGGTTTCAAGAAGGAGGGAGTGTCCTTGTGAAGGAAAATGTCCTTATGATGAAGGCTGGACACTGCTGGCCTCGGTGAAGAAGGGGCACCTCAGAAGGTCAGAGGGGCAGATCAGTGGGGTGGGAGCAAAGAAGGTGGGTCTCGGCTCAGAGGGGCAGTAGTGTGGGTGGGCGTGGACTCGCTGGACTGAGGTTGCAGGAGTGAGCTGGGGCGAATCAGGAGGTGGGACTGGGAGGGGCAAAGAAACTGCTCCTTCCTTTGGGCTAAAGGCAGGTTGGGGAAAACCAGCTAATGAGGAGAGAGCCAGTGGGCTGAGAAAGCCCTCTCAGGTTCGACACCCAGGCCTGGGTAGCAGCTCAGGGAGGGAAGTCAAAATCAGCAGTGTTTTGGGGGGTGGGGAGCAGAAAGAATATGCAGGGCCAGAGCTGTGTGGTTCTGTGGTGTTGCGGACGCTCTCAGCAGCCAGCATGTAGAAATGGAGAAGGTGGATATGGAGAAAGTCCAGGCTGAGGGGTGTGTGTGTGTGGGGGGGGTGGGGGCTGGAAGATGAGGGGCTGGAGAATGCAAGGTGGAGGAGAGAGAACCCAGGGAAGCCACGGGAGCCCGGGCAGGGTGAGGAGGGGGGGCAGGCAGGAGAGGCATGCAGAGAATGCAGGAGGGAAAAGGCCAGAGGCTGTAAGAGCCATAGAGGGAAGGATGGGGGTCAGCGTGGGAAAGCGAAGGTTCAGAGTTCAGAGGGGGCTGTTCCCGGTCCAGTCTTGGAGGTGCTGGTCATTGACCTTAAAGAAGGCAAGACACTGGGTGGGTCATCCACGTGGACAGGAAGTCATCCCAGTGATGGTGGGACTTAGGAGGAAGAAAAGCTGGGACCAAAAGTCTCCATTGAACTTGGGGGGAGGGTGAATGGGAGAGAAGATGACGTTGATGGGGGGCTCAAAGTGAGGAGCCGCGAGATGGTGAGCACCTCAGAGGCTGTGGGGTTTCATCCCGGTGGGGTGGGCGAGGATCTGGAAGTGACACTGGAATGAGGAGGAGCTGAGCCATCCTCTGACTGGATGAGGCTCTGGGGAGGCCATCAGACGAGCCAGCACCAGGCAGTGGCCAGATGGCGCCTACAGCCTGGTGCGGTGGGGATGGCACAGGGTTGGAGGACAGACGAGACTGGCTCTGTGACATGGAAACCTGGGAACCTGACACTCAACTTCCTTGTCCACAAAGGAACACTTTGCCTCATTGTCACATGACCTACGAATAGTGCTGCTCAGCTGACGGTGTGGTCCTGGCTTCTCCAAGCAGAACCCTGTATTGGGCCAGGGGTGTAGGGTAGGTGCAGAGAAGGAAGGCCACTTCAAGGCAGACCCATGACTTGGATTCTATCGGTGCAGAGAAGGCCCCCCAGCAGGAATTTCCTGG